CAACTTGATACATTCAGACCTCTTCCAAAAGAAAGCAAAGGCAAAACAACAGATTACCTTTGGGATTACGGCTTTGTTTCTAATTGGTATGGGGTTATGCGAAAATCTTTCCGAATAGTCTAACAGCAAGAAAAGAACTAAAACCCAGGAGCGCAAGAGACGCGCCCACACCTCATTCCTTAGTGAACATTTCGAGACAGCGGAGAGCAGTTCACGGCAGCGAAAACACAATCAATATTTGGCGCTGATGCACGGTAGGTACAAATTTATAAACAATACTCAAATCAAAGTGTAAGTATGGTAAACATATTTATTTTACCACAAGCGGCCTAAGCGTACTGTGTGTGACTTAAGGGTGTAAAGGTCATTAACGGCAGTAACTAACATATCAAGATCGAATTTCAAGCGAACGTGTGGGCGTTAAAAAAAAGGGCAAATTTAAAAGAAAAAATAAGGAAAAACTTAGAAGGATAATAAAAGCGAGGAACTAAACACGTGAAGTCTCCTTACCTTTTTTCCGTAGCCGCTTTGTTGCCAACGGTCGTTTTAACGCTGTTTTGGCGACTTGCTTTATAACGCGTGTGGTGTCACCGATCAACTGTAAAATTGGAAAAATTACAAAAAAAAATTAAGAAAGAATTAAAAAGGAAAATAAAAGCGAGGAATATATCGTATGAAGTCTCCTTTCCTTTTTTCCGTAGCTGCTTTGTCGTTTACGGTCTTTTTAACGCTGTTTTGGTGACTTTTCTCTCCTCGCTCCGCTTCAGTTGGCGGGAAGATGAGAGACCCTGGGAACGAAGTTGCCTTCTTCAGTCCTGTCAGGGTCATCACTTTTGTCGGGATTTGGTTTACACCGACTAAGAAAACTCACGTTATTTGAACAATGGTTTAATCTCACCTCCCTTTCTTACACTCACTCTAGCAAAAACTCTGAAAAAGATTCATTCAGGTACGGTACACGTGATACTTAACACAACGATAAACTGATGTCACCAATTGAGCTAACCGGTCCTCCCAGTTAGCTCAATTGGTTAGACCGCTCGACTGTTGTGGGGGAGGTCGAGGTCGATGGTTCGAGCCCCGGCCGGACGAACACTCAAGGTCTTAAAATAACTGAGGAGAATGCGCTACCTTTCTATAATATCAAGAAATGGATAAACATTCTAGTCTTCTCGGATAAGGACGAATAAACCTAGGTCCCGTCTCCTGCATCTATTAATTAGTTAATTTGGTTAGGCAGGGGACGTTAAAGAACCCACTCACGAGATTACTGTGATGTGGTCTGGCCTGTTTACTGGGAATTGGGGGGAGGGGGCATCTTCAAATAAGTTTCCTTCGATTGTTTGTAAACTGCTGATGCAGTCCGGCCAAAGTTCCCCGAAAAGTGTTGTGATGCGCATTTGATCATATTCACATGTTAATTTGCGCAATATTAATATCAAATTATTATTATTATTATTATTATTATTATTATTATTATTATAATACAACTTCCGGTCGCGACAGGTGACTTATTGAACTCTTTACAACTTGAAACCAGCGTGCATATTCTCCATGCTGTTCTCCATACTTTTTCTAAGGTGCTGACAAGGAGAATTTGTTTAACAGTCAACAGCTTCTTTGGTAATCACGTAACCAGATTCTACTTCTTGGTCGTGGAAGGTCTGGGTACAAGACTGTCTTTGGTCATTGTCGTGACCTTTATGTGTGATTAGAGGGGGTGACTTGTGAAGAGAAATTAGATGCTAGTTACTCTTAAAGGTGAAAGGGTTAAAGAACATCTGTTAACGCATTCCAAGATTTCAGCAACCTCGTTCCCAGGGCCTTTTCTCTTAGTTGGGGGTGGAGTTGGGGTAGGGCGGGAAAAGACCCTCTTTTCCCGCCCCACCCCCCAACTAATGGAAAAGGCCCTGGGAACGAGGTTGAGATTTCAGTTGAACCAGCAGACCCAAAAACTCATGAAATAGAACGCTAGTCAATTTATTTAGTCATGGATCCATGACCAAAGTAATCAAAACAGCCAATGAAAGGAAAATAAAGAAGTTATTAGAAGTCAATCAGAACTCAACTCAAACAAACAAGCAAAACACGAAGAGATCAAGACGCGATCCGTGTTAGTTTTTTTATTATTATTATTTTTTTATATAAAAGTTTGAATTGGGAGAGCAATCGTAACCTTGTAAGTGCAAAATAGCAAGTATTTGCGTCATCATTTGCACTTGATTGAGTTTAATCTTAGCTCCTCTTCTGATAGCATGATTTCAGCCAAGTTTAATGCTGTGGTTCTTCTATTTCTGATAAAACTTCCCTTTCAAACCCTTTTAGTCTGCGTTACTTAATACTTCACATGTGCCGCCACTCACTCGACTCGCGCCCGTGTTCTGCTGTTTTCCCAGATTAGGTCCTCGATCCTCCATTAAAGTTGGGAGGGAGGAGGAGGAGGCATGGGGAGGGAGCAAGCGTGGGCTCATTTTCGGAACAGCGGATGGCAATTGTGCCCTAGCGTGTTTGCTCGTAGAACAAAAACATAACTTGAACTTAAGAATTTTAAAATCACTGACTGATTTCTTTAAAAGGTGTGTATTTCGTGTGCTTCTGAAAACCATTGTAATTTTGTTATTATCATGTGGTATAAGGATTATTTGTTGCCTTTTTAAAAAAATTTCCTGCTTTACGTAATTTGGTCACCTCGGTACCCGCAAATTGTCATGTTTTGTCTTCGTTATGTCAAAAATTTGTTTCGGGTTAATTCGAAAAAAATTCCATTACTTTCGTTAAATCATCAAAAGATTCTATAAAATCAACAAAAAATAAGTGCACAAAGTAATGAGAGAAAGAAATCTTTGCAGTTTACGATTCTTGCCCAGGCAAGTTAAATCATGTTTTCGTAGAGGACATCTCACCATGATAAACCCATAATTGCAATTTCCATGTCAGAGACAGGAGAGAAAAACGACAGCGTAAGTTGCATGATTCGGCTTCAAGTAGTCCGACTCAGTAGGAGAAAGAATTGTTTCTTAATTTTTTCATGAAGTTAAACTTGAATCAAAATTAACAAATATGCAACAATATAAGATGATTTTGTCATGGCTGTTTTTGAAAGTGGAAATAAAAACAAACTAATAAAGATAACTAAAACGGTAGTTCTAGCAACAAAAATTTGGCAGTTTCAAATGTGGCTTGTTCTATTTATTTTCTGCGTTGAAAACGTTTATTGATATGTTAATCTATACTTTCGGTGATTCATGGTGATGAATAAAGGACGGATATATTATATAGCAAAATTAAAAATATGTTATGCGTTGCCTCAAGTTTTGATTCATTTGAAGAAAGCCTTTATCAGTGATTATATCTGTGAGGTTAAGCAGTGAAGAGCTAAATTGTACACAGGAGGTTCGCAATGATAAAAATCAACTTTTAAAGCGATAAGCAAAGCCGAAAAAGGCAGAGTATCAAGAATGATCACAATGAGCAATATGTGATACGCTTTTTTTTTTTACATAAAAGTTCAAAGTACATAGCCACTTTATCACAGGACGTTTGGAGTGAAGAGTGAAATGGCTTCCTGGAACGCTGTCCAGCTTTGCTCTCTGAAGCTCACTGAGCGGGAAAAAAGATTGCTTTTTAGTGGTATGTCCCAGAATTTCTAATTTCAATGAAGAGCAAACTTGCCGCTTCACTTCTCAACAACACGCACGTACCGTCACTTGCAATGTCCTTTAAGAAAACCAATATAGCCCTTTGTAGCTCTGCAATGATTTCCCAGTACATTCTGCAATATCACATTTTTGTTTAGCAATTAATGAACTGGAGTGTTGATTATTTGGCAGCGTAAATCTTAGCACTTCTTTACGAGTGGACTCCAAGTCTCTCCGAGAAATAATCCTGGGATTTCAAAAAGGTATTCGGTCTTCCAATCTCAAGATAAAAAAATTCTGAGTATCCTCTTCGAAAACCCATTATGATCTTCAAAACCTGCAATTTGTTTTTAGAAGTGTTTGCTTCACAGCGACTTGCTTGGTGATAACTTCTCTGAAATCCCCAACAAAAAAAGGACATAAAACATACTAGCACAATTACCACACTAATACTGGCCCACAATGTTGGCCCAGTATGTTGGGGAGACCTGCTACTGGAGCCAGTCAGTGAGGCGTAAAATCGGCGAATTTTGAAACAAGCCACAAGGGAGATGCTTATGGTGATCGAGTAGGTTAAAGTTTTCGTCATTAGATCTATGTTATTTCTAACTTGCCTCACCGGATAAAGGTGGAACGGTTTCTAGAGGACTTGAATCACAATGAATTCTAATTTCTGTCCTCGTTTTCACTGAGTTTTTTTTCTGTTTGAACCAGCAAGACTAAGAACGCTGAACCTTGTTTGTCTAAGTTGTAGTTTTGCTAATTCATTAATGCCCATGAAGTTGCTCACTACAGTTTTTTGTCTGCCAGCTTACTTCAAGAATTGTCGCGGGCGTTGTTTCAATATGTTCAGTATCGGCTGTAGGACATCTCTGACCAAATTCGCCACCTTAGAATATCAAGTTATCATGCAGCAAAAAAGCGTCATCTAGATAAAAATCTCATTTCTATTCTCTAATTTATTAAGGAAATTGGAAAATCGAACATACGATCCTAAGAGTTAAACGATTAAACAAAGAACTAGTGTGATTATTGTTGTGAGTCAAACAAACATTTAGTGTAAATAATATAATTCAACTGAATGTTGCTGGAATCTCCATCATGCGTGCAGTGCCTTATAATGTCTTTAAATTAACGACAGCGGAAAACTGTCATTTCCCATGTAAAACTCCTCATTACGCTTTAGGGGTAAGACTGAAAAGCAAAAACTCGGTAAGTCCACTCCAATTTCGTCATGAAATTGTGCTAAACGTTTCGAAGGAAGTTTGGAATTTATGTGAACATGACAACTTACTTTCAATTACACTCATAATCGACACTGTCGATTTGAAAACAAATCCAATGAAAATATACGAAAATGCTGTTCAAATTGTTGTCGTAAATGCTGACCTAACTAAAACAAGTTGTTTGTTAACTAAATTTAACATGTTCCTGCCACGTGACAGACCACTTAGCCTTTACTCGTCCGAAATCCACTATTTTTAAAAGTGTACAATATAGGGTTAATATTGGCTAAACCTCGGGATTTCACGAAATTTATATCAGACGTGATGTACATAAAACTCTGATCTGTTTCAGCTGTTCGCAGAGTAAGCATCACGGCATTGATCATCCACAAGACAGTGCTACCTTAAAAAATATGTCCGGCAAAAACAAAGATACTCAAATTAACATAACTTCTAATCCTATCTCGTCAGATTTATCTTCAACAGAGAGAGGGAGCTGTCGGTCAAGGACACATCGTCATCGTTTGTTGCACAAAAATGGTAAAGTAAATTTGCGACCCTACAGAGTTCCTCTGAAGAAAGAACGCTTCTTGGCGGATTTCTTCACTTCTATAATTGATGCCAAGTGGCGATGGGTGATAGCTATTTACTCAGCCGGTTTCATCTTCAGCTGGACATTTTTCGGCACAGCTTGGTTTGCGATTTTCTGGCTCCGGTTGCATTACGATATTGGAACCGTTTGTGTGGACAAAGTAGATTCTTGGACATCGGCTTTCTTGTTCTCAGTGGAAACTCAGACTACCATTGGATACGGTGGACGACAGGTACTATTTCTTCTTTTGTGTATTATTTTTGCATTCCTACAAAAAGCACCCCAAAAATTTGAGGCCGCGACACTTAATACGCTTCGAAAAAACTAAAAGTATCATCAATGAAAGATATACTACAGAGGTAAGCGACAATTGAGTGTCGGAATTGAACACTGAATACTACCTGTTGCCGCAATAGAAAAACTAAGAAGAAACGTTTGACAAAATAATTAAAAGCTTTTGAACAGTTTCACCGCTGGGTTCCTTTGAACCTAAAAGCCACTTAAATGCTTTTAATTAAAAAAATGTTAAATTTATCACGCGACTTTCATAGTGTTTTTTTAAAGTTATAAAACTACGCAAATAGGTTTTATTACTTGACGCCAACTTGACACAGTGAAAAAAACTGATTGATAAATAGGTTCCGCTTACATAACAAGCGACATGTCCTCTGACTAATGATGGTTAACTTTTCTTGACTTCATAAAAGCTTGGGAACTATGAAATATTGGATTAAGCATTCAAAATGACGTTTTTTAATGAGCGGTATAACCCGATACTGGCTGTGGAGAGAAACATTCCGAGACAAAACCACGTCTCCGGTTGATGAAGAGCAAGATAATTACTCGGTAAATTCGAAATAAGCGGAAAAGAGGGCAAACAAAAAAATTGGGAGAGTTTTCGCTTTTTTCCATCTACGGTTGGTGAGGATTTAGAAATCTCAAGACTTTTCAGATCTAACTTTAAAAAAATAAAATCACGGTTAACTTGTTGTGCCTAGGACATAGAAGTATATTGGAAGAAATGTGAAATTAGCCAACTACTACAGAAAGTTTCCAGATAAGAAATGTGTATATTGTGACTCTAGGCACAAATCAATACTGACCGGTTTGATTTAATGGAAAAAGTTGGAAAGTACAGCATGGCAAAGGAATTTGATTTAATTTTGTATTGTGAGACAAATCTGACTGAGTGACTTTCTAGGGAACAAAACTCATATCGAGTATAAATATTTTGTCTAGAAAAAAAAAAGAGCTGGTTTGATATTGAAGTCCGGAGATATATCAATAACGCCGAGTGATGACGCCAGTAACTTCTTTAGGTGACAATTCTCAGCAATGTACAATATCGCTTTGACAAAAAAGCCTCTTTCAGCCAATAAATGTCCCTCACTATTTGGAGCACAGCTTTAATGAAGACTGTTTCCTTGCTAAGGACTTAGTTATTAAGAGAACTTCGATCATTGCCTTGAAGTTAGCCGTCTGAGGCCCTTGGTATGTGGTATGTTACTTGACACGTTTACCAGTATTGCATACAACCAAGAGCTAATATAAAGCGACAATAGAAAATGTCTTCTCTTTAAGGGCAGACGCAAAGCATTTTTTTTTTTATACCCTCGCTGTCTTAGCCGGGAAAGTTTGCGAAAAAACTTGATTTCCTGAAACCAAGGTTAAACGCTCTCAGCCTTCGTACTTTCGCTGAAATTTAAAGCAATAGCTACGAGCATGTATGATCGCTTAGGTAGACTCTGGCTAAAAACCAGCTTAGGCTATTGATGATTCGATGGAACATTTTTTCTAGTACTGTATTGAGGAAATTTACTCTCTTTAGACCTTAAAGGTCGGCACACACGAGGGGACTAGTCCCTGCGACTAGTCCCAGCGACCAGTTTCATGCGACTAGTCCCTTCGCGTGAACTACACATTTCTGTGGTTGCAGGGATTAAAATTTGGTCCCTGCGACTGGTCGCACGAATTCAAACTGGTTTGAATTCGTGCGACCAGTCGCAGGGACTTGTCGCATGAAACAAATGTTTGTCCCTTCGTGTGAACTGTTTGTGCGACCAGTCCCTGCGACTAAACGGTAAATAAGCCAATCACGGGTCAGTATGATGCGTGACTTCCGGTATTTGTAAACATTGCAGTTTCTA